TCAGATATTGCATTCCAAACAACGGTTCTAAGGAAGCTCAATGAGCTCAGTGAGCTCAGAGAGAATAACAAAAAACTATAGGGAAACTATGAGGAACTTACTGCAAACTATATCACCATGAAAAAAGACAGAAACTATCAATAAGAGGGAAGAGAAAATGAAGAATACAATTTCTGAATTGAAGAACGCAGTAGAAGGAACCGAAAGCAGGCTCGATGAAGCTGAGGACTGCATCAGCAAGCTGGAGGACAAGGTAGAAAAAAGCTCCCATAAAGAACAAGAAAATGAAAAAAGACTCAAAAAGAATGAAGAAGCATTTAGGGAAATGCAGGACAACCTGAAATGTAATAATATTCATATAATAGGGATACCAGAAGGAGAAGAGGAGGAGGAAGGGATAGAGAACCTGTTTGAAAACGTCATGCTGGAAAACTTCCCTAATTGGAGGAGAGAAAAAGTCACAGAAGTCCAGGAAGCACAGAGGGTCCCACTCAAGAGGAACCCAATGAGGCCCACTCCAAGACACATCATCATTAAAATGGCAATTATGAAAAACAAACAGGGAATCCTAAAGGCAGCAAGGGAGAAAGAGATAGTAACATATCAGGGAGCCCCGATACAGCTAGCAGCTGACTTCTCAACAGAAACACTGCAAGCCAGAAGGGCGTGGCAAGAAATATTCCAAGTCATGAAAAGCAAAGGCCTGCAACCAAGGCTGCTCTAGCCAGCAAGGCTCTCAATTAAAATGGAAGACAAAATAAGGAGTTTCCTAGACAAAAGATGGCTAAAAGAATACACCTCCACCAAACAAGCACTGCAAAATATGCTAAAGGGACTGCTTTAAGAAGATGAAAAAGAACCTATGAATACCCAGTTCCTTTCACAGTTGCCAATACTTGATATTACCAATATTTTTTAATATGTATTAATCTGATTGTGACAATGATGTGTTATTTTAATTGTTCCTTTATTATTTGTTGAAACTAAACCTGTTTTTGTTTCTTGCCTATTTCTATTATTTTTAAAAACCTTCAAATGACTTTTTAGTATTCTTTATCCATTTTTTGATTAAATGTTTGTAGAATTTTTTCCCTAAAAACAAAACAAACCATTAATACTTTTTTATATGTGTTGCAAATACTTTCCTATTCTATTACTTGGCCTTTTTTTATGTATATTACTTTTTTATATGTATATTACATTTTTGTAATATGTATAAAAATATGTATAAAAGTTATATGTATATAACTTTTTTATATGTATATTACTGTATGGTCTTAAATGTTTAATATAGTCATATTGTCAATATTTTACTGCTAGCTTCTGGGTTTGAAAATTTTACTTCAAGGTAAGAAAAATATTAGTTTGTATTTTCTCTTAAAACTCCTTAGATTCTACATATTGATTTTTAACTCACCTGAATACTTCTTGTATAATGTGTGAAATAGGTCTCTATATTTATTTTATTTCAAGTAATAATGGCCCATGCACCTTATTTGTTGAATAAGCCTTATTTTACCCATTGATTTGAAATATCAACTTAATCATATATTACATTGTTAAACAGATATATACATTTGTCTCTAGAATGCTCATTATATTTCATTGATCTACTTGATTATTTCTGTGCTGGTGTCATGTTGGTATAATTGCTGAGACTTTATAATGGTTTTAAATTTTTTAATGTTTTATAATTAACTTTGACATTTAAAAATAAAATCAACCTGCATTAAGAAAGAAAGAAGAAAGAAAGAAAGAAAGAAAGAAAGAAAGAAAGAAAGAAAGAAAGAGTAAAATTAAGAAAAGAAAGGGAAAGAGAGATGGAACTCCTACCTTTTGTGACAACATGGATGGAACTGGAGAATATTAAGCTAAGTGAAATAAGCCAGTGGATGAAAAACAAATACCATATGATCTTACCTATAAGTAGAATCTATTCAACAAAATAAACTAACGAACAAAATAAACCACAGACATGGAAACATGGAGCAGACCGAAAGTGACCAGAAGGGTAAGGAAAAGAGGACAATGGTGAAAAGAAGGGGAAGGGAACAGACAAAGATCATGTATGAATGACCCGTGGACATGGACAACAGAGTGGGAATTGAGTGTGGGAGCAGGGGGTGGGGGTGAATGGATGGGGGGGAATAAAGGGGGGAAAACTGAGACAACTGTAATAGGATAAACATGATTTATAAATTAAAAATAAAGAAAAAGCAAGTTAATATAAGAATAAATATATTGAACAAATTACCCGTTAAAGATATAGTTATAATGTGAACTCTGAGTTTCTTATCATAGGACATACATAGATAACTAGCTAATGACATATTTTTATAGATGAGGATACAGATATAAATGTAAATATAGTTAAAAGGATTTAAAACATATATAGAGATATAGATATACATGCAAATGTAGTTAAGAATTTCTAAAAATATATAGAGATAAGAATATAGATATAAATATAAATATGGTTAAGAAAGATTTAAAATAATACTTAAGGATAAAAATCACTTAAAATGTAAGATATGGATAAGAAGGAAGGCACAAAAAGTTTGCTAAACTTTATCACAAATAATTTAGTATCAATGTCAAATTGACATTGCATAATTTTTAATACCACAAGCAAAAATAACTGGGATCACCTCCTGCATTCATCCTGGTCTGGGGTCTCAAATTTTGCCTTCCCAATTCGGTTTTGTTTTTCTACATCTACATCTCACATCAGTCTCACCACTTTTGAGTGTGAGCTCAAGTGCCGATTTTTGCATGACTTTCTACTGCAACTGGTGTGCTGTGACCAAAGATTTCACCTCTCGTTATCACCTTCAACTCTTCTTTGTAATCTATGCAACACAAGATAATCTAATGTGCTTTAAAACAGAAATTATGGAGTCAGATAGGCATTCTAATCTTGGTTCTATAATCCACAAAATAATAATAACTCAAAATCTTAAACATTAACTGGTGTCAAGAATAAATCATCTCTTGGCAGTACTGTTGCTGTTTTTATACCATTCATTCAGTCATTACAGACCTGTTGTTTTTTTCTCTCTTCCAAATATTTTAATACTGTCTTTATGTTTTGCTTCTTCACTGATAAATAAAAGTGGCAGATCTATAATCAAAGAGACTTCACACATTTGACAAGTGAGCTTTGCTTTTAAGATCCAGAATCTCCCCTATTGAATACTTTTCAAATAAAGTTCCAGTGATGACTGATGAGGTAACAGCAAATTACCTGTGTCAGGCACTGTCCTAGGCACTGGAGACAAGGGACGGAAACAAGAGACACATTCTTTGACCTAACAGAACTTACATTATAGTGTGGGGGCTAGAGACAAATATAAATAACACACACAAGTGTGCACATGGCTAAATTTTTTAAAGAGAAAATAGAAACACATTTGGTGATATATTAGATAGGGCGGCCAGGAGAGACTTCCGTGAAGCAGTGACATTTAAGCAGAATGGGTGGGATAAAGGAGGAACTCTGGTGAATGTTAGGGCTCAAAGGAAGGTGAGCAAGAAATAAAGAAGAAAGGGAGAGAGCGCGGAGGAGGAAACAGGTGGGCAAAGAAAGGAAAAAGAAGAAAAACAGACCATACTTCTTAAAATGTAATAATGTAAACCCCATTTCCCTTCAAATAAAAGCCTGAGCTTAAATTATTAGGAAAATGTATATTTGTAAGATGTCCATGCCATTTCTACAATAATAAGCCAGGAAACCCATAATAGAATATTAAGGGAATGGAAAGAGTATTGGATTTCTGCCAAGTTAAACTTCTGTGAAAGTCTCTTAAAATTTACCTGCTATAAAATGGCATACATAAGAGAAGCCTATTCCAATGCACTGTGAAACAACATGTTGTTAAATGTAAGTGTTCTTTGACCAATGGTTAGATAAAGATGTCTTACGTATATATGACAGAATACTACAAAGCCACAAAAAGATGAAATATCACCATTTGTGACAACACAAATGGATCCCAAGAGTACCATGCTAAGTAAATAAGCCTGATAGAAAAGGAACAAATGAAAAAAAAAAACAAACACAAAAGCCAAGCTCATAGATACAAACAAGAAAATGGTGGTTAAGAGGGGAGAGGGGGGATTGGGTAGGAAAAAGGGTAAAGGGGGTCAAATATGAGGTGATGAAGGGAGACCAGACTTTGGGGAGTGAGCACACAATTGAATGCATACATGATGTATTGTAAAACTGTACCCCTAAACTTACATAATATTATTAACCAATGTTACTCCAGTAAATTGAACTTGAAAACATAAAGAAATAAAATGTCATGCTAGAAGAAAATATAAGAACTCAAATAAAAAATATTTGAGAAGGTATATATGTTAAGTATTTACTATTTCCATTCGTTTGTGAGTGTTGCACTATGTAGGTCATAACATATGCTCTTAAACTTTATGTGACTATGGATGAACTCTGTAAATCAAATTTATACTTCACAGATTTTTATAGTTACAAACTATTAAGGGTAAAGTTTAGAGGGTACCTTTGCCATGAAGTTTTCCCCTAGGGAGGGGTCTCCCTGAAACACCACGGCCCATTCCACACCCCTCATTTGCTTTTCTACTGAGGCCCACGTCTCCGCGAGCTCAACAATGCCTAGAACTGCATGTCTTGAGCGCGGTAAATGCGAAAACCAGGTGGAAAGAAAGAAGTGATTCTAAGCAGGAGGCCTGTTTAAAAGAAGGCTGTGCCGTGATGATATGTGTTCATGTTTGTGCGTGTCCCTTTGAAATAAAATGTCTCAATATACACAGAGGACGATATCAAAAAAGAGATTCTGAAACATAGACATGCCCAGGAACATTCCATGTAAATGCAATTTTGTTGTAGCAAAGAAATACAACATCTGATGTTATAACAGCGGAAGCAAAAGGAAGTTTTCTCTCAACATTTATGGAGGAAAAACGAGATCACTCTATAAACACCTGAACGGTTCGGGGCCACGGGGACGCGCGGGACTCACCACCATCTCGTTGAGCGACACCCAGCAGTCGGGCGGGAAGTCCTGCAGCAGCGGCACCAGGAACTGCAGGCAGCCGTCCCAGTGGCAGAGCAGCAGCATCATGCCGATGAGGTTGAAAATGCGCACCACCGCGCTGGCCAGGTCGTACGTCATGTGGAAAATCTGCGGACCGAGATGCACGGTCAACTCGGACAATTTTTTAAAAAAATCATTGACACCACCCATGTCGGTAGGCATTGACACCGGAGAGTGTAAGCAGTGATTTAACAAGAATACGGGAAGGACTTTTACAAAGAGAAGCAGAGTTACGCTTCTGCACCTTTACCCCGAGACCTGGCCCCTCGGGAGGGCAACCAACGGCGGGCTCTCCACGAAGAACAGGGTCGACGGGAATACATTAAATGTACGGGTCATGTTTCGAAAACTTCAGTTTTGCCAGTCGTTTTCATTTACTGTTCTCCTGAGCATTTTAGTAAAGTTGTTTTAGAACAAAGTAGCAAAACTGGCGAGTGATAGCCACCTGTTTGTCTGTGTCTCATTCCTTGTTAATGGATTTACTGAAGGACAGAAAGAAAAGAAAAGAAAAGAAAAAGCTAAGGACTGAAAATTATTAACAAGGGGAGTTTATTTGTACAATATAAAGTACAACTGAGAATTAATTGCAGCTAACTTTTAGCTATATTGTATATATTGAATAGTGACCTTTGAGACTACAGTTCCCTGGATTTGGTTTAAGGAACAGCTATGCAACAATATTTTAAAAAATAAAATTATTTCCACTTACAGTATTTGTATAATAGAGGCTATTCTTTCCTATGAACCTTTTTATTGATATGTTTATGTGCTTAATATGGCTAAATATGCAAAGACACAATACCCTGAGATACTTAGAGTCACATTTTGTATAATTCACCAAAGAAGAGTCTATTTTTAAAGTAACAAGGATGACAGGTATTGAAAAATTATCTCAGAAATAGAGGAATGCCCCACAAAACTTTCATGTTGATTTAGAAACCATATACCTGTAAGGGAACGTCTGTAACCCTTGAGAGATGCTTGCCGGGGTATAGAGAGGGAGTCGGCAGGACCACGGTTGTTGCACTGTTACAAAATCACCAAATCTGTCTTCAATTAAATGTTTTCCACTTTGATACATTTATATTAGTCATTCATTCTTTAAACAATATTCCTTTTGACACAGTAATTATAGTGAACAAAAAAATCTTACTTTATGTACACACTGGTCTGAATCCCTTTTAGAAGTAAGTTTGGGGTTCTAAGTAAGTTTAAAGGCAACAGCTCGTGTATTTTGATATTCAGACAGCTATACACATAATTTACTTAAGGCACTGAGAATTTTATTTTCTTCTAAGCTGTATTTTAATTTGTTTTTGTATCTGGAAAACCCACAGGGAAGTCCTTTTGATGTTACTGCCTGAGATATTTCTTGGCCACTGAGTTTGTAAATGGAAATTGTATTAACATTTTCATTATAATTTCTCCTTAAAAATAATACAGTAAAATGTAATTAAAAACTGTCTACTATTAAAGTAGGAAAATAAATCACCATGCATTTAAGGGTTTTTTGTTGTTGTTGTTGTTGAGTAATAGAATTCTATATTTATGCCTAAGTATTTGCTGCCAAAACAGTTCAATATGTCTTTTGGGGAAGTGTTGCATTGTTGGAAAACAAAGTAAACTTACAGAATATAAACTTCTGGATCAAACGAGAAACAAACCACCTTTCAACCTGATTCTTTGGAGTAACCAATAATGATCGGAAACTCCCTGCCCAAGTCGGGCAGCTCGAAGCACACAGGCGGCGACGATCCCTCGGCTCTCATGCTCTGGAGTGAGACCTGGGGTGTTACAGTGAACTAGGGCCATTCTGAGTAAAGCTGAATTTTATGAATTTTCTATTTTGTTTTCTATGGAATGAGACTTTCTTTGTGAAACCTTAAGGTGAATTAAGATAAAATTTGCTAATATTCATCAATGCCTTTAGGAAAGCTCTATTGAAATGTTTTCCAGAGAAACATAACCACTATTTTTATAAAGGAATTTATTGGAGAAATAAGGTCTCTCATAACATATTAAAAACACATTGTTTCCTTATTTAGTTATTTATGCCTCCATGTGATTACTGAACCCCTGTTGTATTATGATTGTATCATAACAGAACAAAATCTAGAAATGAGCATCTCCTCTCCCCCATTTCCGTTCCCAGCCTCACAATGCTAGCATGCAATACGAGTCCAAAATTTATATACTAAGCCCATTAGAGAGGGTGCTCCATAGTAACTCACATGGTGAATTTCAGAAACAGTCTCCCCTTTGGTCTTTAACATTACATGTTCAAATGTGATCTCACTTTATGGAGCTTCCCCGAAACCTAACTTCGGAAGAGGAAGAAGCAAGTTGGCTATTTTGACACAGGTTAGTATCAGAGGCCATTTTCAAATAGTCAAATCCACGTGTATCCGTCCTGACTGATCTACCTGAAAGAACATAATAATGAATGTGTGTAGTGCTGGGGGTCGACCTGGTCGACTCTGGAGCTGTTATAATCCATCATACGCGCTGACAAACATAGTCATCCGACGGGACCAGGTGCTGAGATTATTAACAGTCCTGTGAAAACCTTGCTCATGGACTATTTGGATGGAGAGGATTATTTTCTTATGGAGCACATACATCTGTAGAGAGTCATGCTCACCCAACAAGGAAACATGTGGTCTAAATTACACATTGCCACAACGTCTTATTGTCTAAGGGCAGCTTGTAGTGTAAACCTAAGTGCAGCTTCATTCAACTTCCTGGTCAAGCAGATCATACCACGGATTAATTAATATTTTCTGGGTTTTATTTTCCTTCTACGAGGTGAACATCGTTGAGTAATAAGTTTCTGTCTGAATCAATTATTTAATACTACTTCCTGCAAACATGACTTCACACAAAAATAACATCATAGATGACGCATAGTAATTTGCTAAATGGGTGAATGAGAATGTTGCAGGCATTTAACAGAAATAGCATAAGCAATCTCTTCTGATCTTAAGAGTGGGAAGCTTGTGCTGCTCTGTTTTAAATCAGAGAATTAAAATTAATTATGTTTGATCTTCCCAGTGATCTGACTCAAAACCTGACTTGGGTTATCTGGGTGTAAGTAGAAGAAAGACAGGCCATTCTGACCACTAGCAACATGCTTTTAATTGGGGGGGGGCGCTGGGGGGAGAAGGGGAAAGGAGGGAAAATTGGGGCAACTGCAACACCATAAGCAATAAAAATGTTTACCTTCAAAGATATGATTTGAAGTGGTACTTATAAGAGTCAATTGGAAAAAATTAAAATAGAGCCAACTGAAAAAAATAAAATAAGTTTTAAAAGCCACTCTTTAATTTTATTTTCATCAAAACATAGACTGCAAAACATGTCACTGGAAGGCCTTTGCTTTGCACCGCTCAGCTCTGGACACTGTGTTGTTCTCAGGACTCCAGGGGGAGGAAAGGTCAGATTGCAGATCCCCCTCAGTTTTTTTTTACACCACCATAGTTCTAAAATTCTGCTCAAATGGGATCCAATGACTCCAGAGAGGGTAGCTAATCAGCTTTCCAAAACTAAGGAACGCTCTGATTAAGATAATTTGATTTAGAATCCCCAACCTTGCCCTAATCTTTGCAGAATTGTTCACCGTATGTATAATGTATTTGTAACACCTTCCCAGGAGCAATGCATGTTCCCTTCTGCTTCTAAAAGGCCAAATCCGGGGATGCTGGAGGGCAGATATTCGTGGAGCAGCTGAGTTCTTTTCAGATGCTTTCACATTCTTTCCTAGGCACCGATTTCAGATGTCTCTTAGTTTAACAACCCCCTGTGAAATCAGCGGGCCCTTATCAATCCTAAACCATTTAATCTCCTATGTTTTACTTAACCACAAAAATTGTCAAGAGTAGTTTAACACTTTTCATAGCATGCAGTGATCTGTCCCTAGTCTTTGACTTCACAGATGGGGACCGTTTATAGGCTAGATCGCTTCTCTGACCTCAATATTTATTCTGGGCTTCAAATATACCTTCCATAGTCTTATCAAAGCAACATTAAGAAAATCAAATGGGCCAGAAATGCCTCTCTCGACAAAAAACTTTCTTATGTTTTAGGTGTAAAACAAGGTTGAATTTTTTTGGTTCTCATTATAAATCTGCCCCTGCATAACTTTTAGATGAATGTATTTTAGCCGTGTCAACAACAGAGAACAAGAAGACCAACGTTTAGCTACTCAGTCTGCTTCACGGTTAGCATATATTTAGGATTCAATATGTACTCATCTTAATCAATAATGAAATCTATATTTTAGGAGTCCTACTGTACCTTCTGCAATTCTTACCTCGAAAATGATCCAGGCTATCTTATCAGGCTTTAGGTACAAAGTGTGGATAATACTTTATTCGAAGGTTTCACCTGGCATATGAGAGAAGAGCACTCTTCCCAGTGATATGTTTGAACATGGATCAGCGACTGCAGTCCTGGGACTACTTTTATTAGCCCCCTGTTCACTTGGGAATCTCATTAAGAGTGGCCAGCCATACCTTCAGGAAAGCCAGCCACCTAGGCCTCTCATCTCCAGAAGACTTTGTAAAGAGTCTACTTGCAATGGTCTACCCCCAACCTTGTATACCTCCTGTCAGAGCCTCATGCCAGTGGGTGCTTTTCTCCCGGATTCTTCTTTCCATTGTCCCTTCCAAAACTCCCCCTCCATTATCTATTGACTTTCTACACCCTCAGCCTTGTCATGAAATTCTTCCTCTCCTTCTGCGCTTTCCCTGAGATGGATGAGTCCTGCTCACTCTCACCCAAAGATTCAGACTCTCTGGTAGCTTTCTCAAAAAGAGTTGGTTTGGTTCTTTCATATTTGTAAGCCTTAGGTTCTGATGACAGTTGTCCTCATTTTCCCATCTCTTCTCTGTGAGTTCAGGCAATTATTTGTCTAGCTGTATATAAAAAATTACTTTCTTTAGTGTTCCTTCTATTTGGCTCTCCCACCCATACCTTAACCTCATTTCTGGCATTTAGCAACCTCATGATCTCCACCCACCACACGGCTCCATTTGTTAAGGACTCTGTGGTTTCCCATTGCATTTTCTCCACAAAATGTCAACTTCTGA